TTGAAATCAAAACTAAAAATTCTGAAAGTCACATAGCAGAAAGTTTTCCATGCAGGTATCGTAGATCCAACGAGAGACTGCCAAAGTCTGTGACTGTTTGCTTAAATGATTTCGCAGTTTTCCTTCTTTTTTTTTCTCTCCACAGACTTTGCCCGTTTTTCTTTTTTGTTTGCCAGTTTTGTTCTTTTTCCTTTTATATTACTCGTACTGGTACTGGTACTGGTACTCGTATTTTCTTCGTTTGTGTGCCGCATAAAACTAATATTGTGCAGTGAGTTTATTGGAATTTCAGCGCAGAGAAACTTCTAACAGGTAGTATCTTGTAATTTTATGGAGTTGGCTGCTGTCTGATGTCTGGCGAGTACACACTGGAACGGGGCTTATGGAAATCGCTGCCAGAAATGTCGTAAAATCAAGGCGGACCACGCATACCGAAAACGGCGTTAAACTCCCCGACAAACTTCGTCGACGGATTTTGTCTTGCGGTTAGTTTCTGGCAATTCTGCGGATGACACACCGCAAAAACCTACAAAAAGTCCCCAAATGGGGGACTGAAATTGTTATCCACATTAAACAGGTCGCTGCATGTGCTCGGCAGTTGCGTATCTGCCGGATTCGCCTCCTACGTGATCCGTATTTGGCATGCAGGACACGTGGCCCCTGGCCCTATCAATGGGTATTTTCGTTGGCTGCGCATCGATGGCTCTAATTAATGTTTAAACTGTGACTTTTATTATTCAGTGGCTTCACCAGTACGTTCTGTCCGTTCTGGCCGTAAAAACTAAGCATCACCAGTGAAATGATTTTGTCGAGCTCAATACTCAATACTCCCTAGTATCACTCTCGAAATTGAGAAAGATAGTAAAGAAAGTTCTTTCACTTACATAGAATTCATTCGTTTAATTCATTATTATTTATCAGACGAATTAGGCAAGGTACAAAGTAATTAGATATCCGTCAAGAAAGATTGTTTGCCGAAGATTGTATTTAAGAATGTAGCGATTCCAAATTGTAAGCACATTGATGCAAGGATAACTTCTTTGGAGTCCAATATTAGATTCTATGCATTAATTAACAAATATACATTTTAAAGCTCATGTTGTTAGTCCATTTCAGATGACCGCAAAAACGCATTGTGTCCACTTGAGGACTTATCCGGTGCCCATTGATGAGTGGATGTTCGAAGCTCGTTAGTGGAGTGGCTGGCCCACCGTGTGGCTGGTTGGTTGGTCCTTTGGTAATCCACTCGCAGAGCTGGGCTGAGCTGAGCGTGGAGCAGGGACCCGTCAAGTGGCGTCGCCGGCTCTGTCAAAAAGGAAACGATATCAAGTGCCTCAATCAAGTCAAACTTGCAATATAAATTCAAACATTTTCAATTCAATGCATTTCTGTGGTTGTTGCCAGTCAATCGTTGGCAATTCTATGAATATTCCTCTTCCATTACTATCCCCGAGTCTCCCTCTCCACCTTGGTCTGGGTCTGGGTCTGGCACAGGGATGCAGACGGGCATTTGATATCCTTTCTCCGCCTCCATCACTGCCAAATTGCAGCGTTTCTATCAAAATGCTGCTGCTCCGTCTTGCAGTTGTTGGTATTTTTGTTTTTACAGCAACATTTACCTGAGCAGGTGAGTTTCAATTCATTGCCAGACGTACCAATCCCCTACCTTTGCCCCTATTACCAGACACGCCCTCCGACCAAACCGACCAACGCGGTTTATGCAATAAATTGGATTGCTTTTGGTTTTGGCTTTTGGTCCTTTACAGAGCAGCACATTTTCGTATTTTCTATTACTATTATTATTCGTATAATAATATATGCATGTATCTTATATATGTACATATGTATGTATTTAATTTAATTGTATTTGAAATATTTGATAAGCAAATTTCATTGAATGTAGAATTCTTGAAAGCTTACTGCTTAAGCAGGTACGATTTAATTATAATAAGGCAAAATATGTATATTGAATATTTATCGTAAAATCTCTAATCCCTACTCTTCAATTAATTCAATTAATTTCAGTTAATTTCAATCGTTAGGGCTAGTTCATTATCCAAAAACACAACAACCCCATGACAAAGTATCCAACTTCCAATCAGCTGCGAGGAACTTACTCTGCGCGCTAAACGGACCAAAGGTCTTAAATTTCCAGTGCTTGTGCGTCCTTGGGACTTGGGAGCCACTGAGCATCCTCCCACCGTCGCACCACCCACTTCTTGGCTGCCACAACTTGAGTTAATTTAATAAATCTTGAACAACTGAATAAGCTTTAAATTAATGACCCTGTAAAGTTCATATAAATTATTACGTTATCTCAAGCATTTTCAGTGAAACACCAGGCACCCACCTCCGGACCCCCGACCCAGACCCCAGACCCCATGCTCTCAACCCCAACCCCCAAGCCCAACTGGCAGCTGACACGTGGTGGCAAAATATGCCAGCCATACGAGCACACACACACACACACACACACACACACACACACACACACACACAATGCCTGCCTGCCGCTGCCCCGCCAAATGATTTCTCATTTCCAATCCCGTCAGCAGCAGCGGCAGCATCAGGCTGGGGGGCCACATACTCGTATTTTTTATTCCCTCCGAAATCAAATTTGTATCAATTACAATTGCATTAACATATAATTTGTGATCGTCTCGGATTTCTGGGCAGCAGCTGGCTGAGGCCCAAAATGAATATTTAAGTGCCACCAAACGGGCCGAGCTTTAACACTGATATTAGAGCACGTATCGAACGGAGAATACTTTACTGGCTTTAATCTTATTACTCTTAACCACTTCATAAATGCAAAACACTCTCCTGAAATAGTAAATTAAATCTGCAAGTGTTGGCCAGTATGAGGGAAACGAGATTATTCCTATTCGATTAAACCATTACCAAATTATTTTAAGAACATACTTCCATATGTATTTCCCCTGGTACACAGTGACACTGCCAGGGCCAGTGCCAGCGCCATGCCGATGGCAAACCAATAACAAATTAACAAATCAAACCTTTTGGGGCCTTGACACAACTTCGCACCAGCTGCGGCAGAAAATCAACAAAGGAGCCCGGTCTGCCTCGACAAGTTCGGGTCCATATGAAGAGCTCAAGTAGATTACTGGGCAAACAAAGGCTACATGGTAGTGGCCTTACTCTGACAGAAAGGCGGCCGACTGCCAAGGAGTGGATGTGATGTGGCTGATCTCCTTCGGCGACCCAATTTCCATATACTCGTACGAGTATGCGGCAGATGGCGGTTTTTGGCTTAACTAGCCAAAACTTGGCTTCAAGTTTGCGGCCAAGTCAAACAAACGAAACCGATAGAGAAGGCGAAGTAGAAGTAGAGGGAGAAGGTTTGTCAAAAGGAGAATTGCGGCGGAGGAGGAAGAGCTTGATTCGACACTCTACCATTGGGGATTCAGACCTCAGGTTCAGCTTCCAGGGCAGGGCCAGGACCCACGACCCACTGCGGTTTCAGCCAAACAGGAACCAAAGTTGGCGACCACAAACTGGCAGAGCCAGCAGCTAATATTATTGAATAAAATTGAATTTTCCCAGCGTTATTGTTGCTGCGAAATTATTAAAACATGACTCCGGGATTGTAGCCGGGATTCTCGGTTTTCCGTTTTCGGGCTTCTGTTCTCCTCTCCCTTCTCTTGGCAACCCACTCGTCCTGTGGCTTGGCAAGGATTTCGCTACGACTGCAGCATGGATAATTCAATTATTTCTGAAGTAGACTCTATTCCAAAAGCGGAAGATGCCAAATTGCAATACTTTTGCAATTATGCAGAACAATTTCGCCCTGCCACTGATTGCAACTTGCGATATTATTTTTCATAAGTAGAAGCTAGGTTCCAGTTCCCCAGATTCCGGAACCCCAGTTTCACCGTCACACTCACTTTGGCGTGAAATTTGGAACGAATGAATTAAATTCGAACAGTGAAAATAACTATTTCGGTGGAATTTGGCCACTTAATCGTAAGACCTCAAAGTACATGGAACAATGCTTTTGCTGTATAAATATCTCTTATTAACTTTGATACTGAGCGTCTGGTTTCTTCTCTCAAACGGCCACATATGTAAGTAAATAATACAAATACTGAAAAATCGAATAGGCAAGATTACTTTTCAGCTTGCAGGGACAACACAGGGGAGTGTCGAGAACGCTGTCCAGCAGATATGAGCTATATACGCAACAGAGCGGAATGTATGGAGGACTTCTCCCGGCCGTTACTCTGTTGTGTGAAAGATTTATTCGGCTAAGCGACGCCCCGGAGCATCATAAGCGTGAACTAGCATCGGCAGTACCTGTTGGACGTACCTAGCTCAAAATATTAACTAGAAACGTTTATAAACGCTTAAACCGTGTCTATATATGTTTTTATTTTATATACAAAATACCCCATTCATGTAATTAATTTTCAAAGGTTTCTATATATGAATTTTAATTCATTCACATGACAAAAGAACAACTGTGGACCGCAATTTTTATACCCGATACTCGAATTATAGAAATATGTTATATTTGTGGTGAAAGTGGATGTGGGTGACACTCAGAAGGAACCTTTTCCGACCCTATAAAGTATATGTATTCTTGATCAGCAGGTTCGTAGAGAATGACCATATCTACCACACTACAGCATCAGATCGGATCTTTATTGTAGCCAAGGTCAGACACATAAATTACATAAATCATAAGCTCACATATTTACTGACTGAGTACCGGGTATAAAGTAGAGCCGCGGCCTTCGCCGCGGTTCACAAAGTTCCCCTCGTTCTACTATAAATACGACGGAAATTATCTTAAATAACATATATAACATTCGCTAATATCTTACACAATACATTGACCGACACATTCCAATGGGTTATGTCAACTGTAAAAAATGAATTGGATTCCAAGTGTTAGAAGAACTCTCAAAGTGGGATTTAGCCACTGAATCTTAAGTCTTCAAAGTACATTGAACAATGGCTACTGCTGCATAAATATTTATTTTTAACGTTCCTTTTGAGCGCGGGTATTCCTCTCTCGAACTGTCAATATAAGTATATAAGTAAGTAATATAAGTCAAATAGTAAGTAAAATACCACTACGACGACGTCCCAGAACTTTTTTATATAATATGTATATATTAAATATGCAATTTTAATTTACAGGTTGCAGGATGAAAACAGGATACTGTGCCGAGACTTGTCCAAAAAAATGGGGTGCTATAAATATGATATATGAGTGTGTGGAAGACTGGAGTAATCCCTTAATGTGTTACGTAAACCAATCTCCAATCTAAGCGTAGCTCTAGGATGTTGAAGCTTTTATTTTGAGCCTGCAAAGTTCATTTTCATACGCCTGTAGTACCTAGTTAAAACCGACAAATCAAGGAACGTGTCGGATCGATCCTGCCCAGAAAATAAACATACTTAACTTAAACATTAAACCATTTGTGTCAATTGTTATGTCAATTGTAACGAATGAATTAGATTCGAGGTGCTATAAGAACTTAAAAAGTGGTACCGAATCGCCATTCCTCGAAGCACTTGGAACTATGATGAGGCTGAATAGGTATATTTTTATGTCTTTGATGTTAAGCATATTGTTTTCTTTCTCCAACGGAGGCAGACGTAAGTAAATAATACCCGAATGAACACTACTAATTATACAACTTTAATTACCAGCTTGTAAAGGCAGCGGAGGTGAATGTGTGCCAATCTCAAAGGCACACAACCAATGTGCAAAAATGGAACGGCATCCCTACCTAACATTTGAGTCGTCCGATTGTTCGAACAACGAACTGTGTTGTATTCACGTAATTTAATTGGAACAGATGCTCAAAGTTCTACAGTAAATACGACTAAAGTTACCCCAAACTCCCAACCAATACTTCAAAGAGTTATTCCCATTGTATTAGATTCCGAGTGCAATAAGGACCATAAAAGGGGATTTAGCCACTGAATTAAACATCTTCAAGGTGCATCCAACATGGTTTTCCTGGATAAACGTCTGTCCATTATGTCGTTATGCAATGTCAGTAAAAAGGATAAAAGTCTCAGGGGTTTTCCTACTATGATGAAGACCACATTTGGACTTATCAAAGTGCCTCAAACATCGCCTTCCTACGAGTATTTACCACTTCTTCATTGGCAGCTGGCTGCTCAATTGAATATCGAAAGGCTCCCAGAATTGTTCCCATTTTCCATTGACATTTCCCTTTCGGCTGCAATCCGGTCCGCATCAATGGAACGCCTCAAAGTAAATATCCAGCTGCAAATCCACAAATCAAATGCAATCAATTCAAATTTCACACTTCAATATTCATTAGAAATGTATTTTGCATTTTACAATTGCAATGTAGATGAAACCGCCAGCCAGAGGCAATCGCCTGTCTGGCTCACTGGCTCACTGGCTCACTGGCTGACTGTGGCTGGAGGTCCATGCTCTCTTCCCTAGCCCGAACCGAGCCGGCAAGGACCCAGCGTCTCAGCATCTCAGTCCGGGTATCGTTACTCAGTTGCACAAAACGAGCATAAAAAATGGAATGGAATTTTCAGCAAAATTAGCTGCCAATTGTTTTCAATGCACAGCGTCGACATTCAGCTGATAAATTGAGAGCGAACAGAGAACGGAAATTGTGCCAAACCAAGCAAGAAATTTCAAATTGCCAACATCTGTGCGCTGCAGTTCGGGGCTCCTGCGCTTCTGGTTACCCCAGCGCAATCCCAGTTGCTGCCACTTAAAGTGCGATACTTTAATGGAGCTGCCTAATTTATACATAGTTTATAACAATTAAAGCGGCATAACCTTGCGTCGGTTCATGCGGCGTATGCGCAATGAAAAACTTCGGGCAGCCGCAAAATGTCAGACCAAAGGTGGACCCCACATATATTTGTATGTACATATATGTTTTTGTGTGTTGTAGTGCCGTGCACATAACTTAATTATGCAGAAGTGTAAATGTTGCTAACAAACACTCACACACCCAGACACCCGGACATACTCGCACTCGTAGAGGTACAGGAATAGGGACAGGGACAGGGACCGAGTGGTTCCAGGACTGCTAAGTTTGTCCGTGTGGCAGACGATGCGCCGCTTGAAGTCTTTCCATAAGCTCAAAGTTCATAATAGGATTTAGTTAGTATAGCTTGTTGGTGTAGTTTTTGTTGCCACTGCTGGTGCTCCTAGTGCTCCTGGTCCTGGTCCTGCTGAATATGATGATGATGATGATGCATGGCAGTTCTAGTCGGTTGCTCCTCCTCTGCCTTTTTCTTTTGTCATCTGATGAACTGTGGGAAGCCCCAGCAAAATTTTCCACATAATTTCATTCAAAGTTATTCTTGCATATATTTGCAACAACAATTGGGATTCTTGTGTTAACCAAATTAGAAGAGAGTGTGGAGAGTCCAGGGCGTGCCTGACAATGGGCCCTCAAAAGTTAATTGATTAAATTATTATTAATTAAGTTTGAAATAACTTTTACTTAAATTGAAGCTGGTACAGTAATGCAATTTCATTGAGCATTAAGTTTAGGAAAACTTATTAGAAGTCGAAATAAAAGCTAGACTCTTGGACGAAGATTTGGATACCATTGCAGGTAGATTTGCAGATCTACTGTAAAATCGATTAAGACCGTTGCATTCAGTCGCAGATTTTTATAGGATTTTGTCCACAGTTCCGGCCTAATGTTAAATATGGTCACTCTGGCTTGCCTACGCTCTGTGCTGTGTGCACTGTAGACCAGACCAGCTGAACCTGCTGTGTGGCATTTGCTAAGTCTCGCTGCCCCTCGCTGAAAATATAAATTATGCACACAAGGAAAAAATTGCAGGACGAGGAATACTTAGCAGAGGAGGAGGTGGATCTCCTCCAACGGCTGAGCAAAATGGGGCATGACTGTGTATGGTGCATCTTATAATTCTTGCACGAAAATAATAGCGGCCTAAATGTTTTGCATGTGATAATGGAAATTTATGAGTGACAGACACGGCAAGAGGCCTACAACTATGCGAGTACAGTGTACCTTGCCGGTGTTATCGCTGGTCATACATATTTAAAGGGCACTCTCTGTTGACCACAGAAACCACAGCTATCAACTTTGTCTTGGCTCTACCTCGTCGGCCTATTAGTCCAAGCCACACGCCGCATGTCGTAAGCCCACTCTGTCTTCAGTTCCGCCTCCACTTGCTGCATCTCCGCCGGCTGGCTCTTCAGCAGCAGCAGCAGCATCATCATCGGTTCTGCTGATGCTGTTGCTACTGACTGCGTAATGTATTGATAAACATTAAAAGCCAATCAGCGTAATGGGTTGTGAAGTGGAGCTGGCATCCCATACCGCTCTCTCATTCAACATACTTCATTTTCAACAGCTCATAAAATTGCAATTGGCTTTGAGCTGCCTCTTCGCTCCTCTTCTCTCTGGCACTTTCCTTTCCCTTCGGAAAATGTCGCAGTCACATATGTGCTTAATTAAGTGAATAAATTGATATTTGGTGCGAGTTTATGACTGCAATGCAGTCATTGCAGTTGTGCCCCGATTATATACTTATCCACACTTACTTGCACATTAGCCCCTGCTTGGCAAAGTGCCTGACTTTGTGGGGCGTATACTTAATGTACTTGAAGGGATTTCATATATTCTCTACTCTGGCTCCCCATATCCCTCTTATATAAACGTGCAAAACGAAAGATATTGGATAATCTAACTTAGGTATTTAAATGCATATTTTCTGAAATAGGACCCACCCTCTGCAAAGTATTTTCAGATATATGTATAAACCTTGTTTATTGTTAATACATAATTAAACACTAATACCATTCATGCGTACCTTATGATGCATTTCATAGTTAAAATAGTTATTTAATCACTCTCAAGCCAGCCCGCTCGAGGCCTGACCTACTTACATATATGCATTGAAATGTATTTATAATTTTCTGTCCATCATTATTCGAGTCTACCAAATTTTGTGATTATTTATCACCCATCTAAATAGTCCATCGTCTGGCTGCGAACCTTGGCCAACAGGCACCACAGCGAACCATCCACAACCAGGATAACCGGGAGAACGACAACAACTGGCTGTTTAGCATACCACGTAGCCGGAGAGGAAATTTAATTAATTTACTCCGCCGCCTCGTCTTCCTGCACACATTTGTCTCAGGGCCTGGACAAGCCATAAACTGAAAAGTTACGAGTACTCGTATTTTCAGCAGCTGCAACTACTTCATTATGTGACTGATGATGTACAGCGGACTACTACTCAGGAAGTTATCAGACTTTTTCACCCGTTTCTCTCGTCTCGTGACGGGCTTTGTCTCGGCGCAAGAGTGGATGGACGGATGCAGGGCCAGCCACCAGCCACCAGCCGAGGAGGCATCCGCTTGTCTTTATGGCAGCCAAGTAGCTGCAAACTTTGCGACGTTAGAGGCAAAACTGCAGAAAGGCAACCAAGTGTCGGCCAGCGAGCGGGGCGAGCGACTAAAACAAAAATTGGCATATAAAAAGTTTTTTAATGAATGGAATTAGTGTTTGAGCTGCACCGACTTTGTTAAATCGTCCGAGCAGCATCTCGCAAGTCCTCTCAAAATCCCTCTCCGGCATCAGTCTCGAGTCAGTTTTGGCATGCCATCAGCATCGGCGGAAGCGGCTCCTCGGCCCACTTCTCCTCCTGTTTCTATTCCTGTTCCTGTTACAGGGCTAACTAAATTAGCGCTTATTAGTGCCAGTTGGTCAAACTTTTCAGAGATTTTCCTTTTTTGTTTTTCACTTTTCTACTCGTCATAATTTCCCCAGAGCACGACCACTGAGACCCATTCTCTAATTGTTTCAAATTGACTTTTATACGACTGGATGTGCCGCAAAATGATTGCACTGTAGCACGGAATCCAAAGCGAGGATTGTGTGTGAGTTTTTGAAATACTTGAAAAATGTTTGGAGTTAACTTACAGATGTCAAGGAATCAATTTGATGTATGTACTTCCGATTGGATGGTATGTATGTATGGTTAGATGGTAGATGGCAAGGAAGATGTATAAAACTTGCAGGCAAATTAAGAAGCTCAAACGTCAGACCAATCAAAATTTTAGTGGACAATGCCTGTAGTAGACTAGATCAAAATCCTTTTTTCCATATATTGCTTCTTCTACTTGCTTTTCGTTGTGTATTTTGGACATGCAGCAACTACATAACTACTAACGAGTATGTACACTATATCCATACATATGTCGATATCCGTATATTCCCATGGCAATTTAAAGCCGCCTGTCAACTATAATTCACTTTGTTCTGCAGCTCAAAATTGTCATAGCTATCCTTGGCCAAAAATTTCGATGCGGCTTTACCTTATTGGAATACATGCACACATGGACACGACCTGCATTATAATCCAAGATCTCGGCGTAGCTCCCCAGAGGCAACGGCAACGGCAACAGCAACCACAACCAAATAAAGGAAAAAAAAACTAAAAATAAATTCAACCAAAAAGCCGCAAAAGATATCAATGAACAATCGATGCTGCTGCAGACCAACCACAGCCCCCTGTACCCGCCGGCATACCTCTGCCGATTGCGGCAAAAAGGCAACTATCTATCGATGGAGATACTGATACATGCACGTCCTACAGTCTTACAGTCTCACAGATAGAGATACAGATACAGTTTCATTCAACGGAGGGAGAGTGTGGTCGTCGCAGTGAATTTGTAAAATACGTGACAAACATTTTCAATTTGGTGGCTATCCTTGGCTCCCACTCCTTAGCATCATCATCAACATCATCATCATCTTGGTCTCCACCCTCTACTCAACCCATCCGCAACTGCTTTCATCTGCTCTACTATTTACAATTCAATTGTTCTAATTTCGTTTCGTTTTGTTCGGTGCCACAAAAAATGAAGTTCAATTGAATTGACAGCCATGAAAGTTAAATGCTTTGCTACTATTTTGCAACTAGCCGGAGTCCCTTTTTGCGCTTATTGTTGTCCGTAGTGCAGTATATTTTCCTTGTCCAAATTGATTTATTTATGTTCGCTGTCTGTTCGGTGTTTTTCCGCACTTTGGCCACTCGTATCTGGGAGAAAACTTTATTGTCTGGCTGACCACATTTTGTGGTCATGGCGGTTATAAATTTATTGTAATTTTGTATGCCATTTTAACTGGCAACAAAAAGCATAAATTCATAAAGCGCCGATGTTCGTTGCGGCTTCTTGGCCCCAGCCACTCCCACTTAACACTGCCCTGGTGAGATTTTTATGATCTTTTGTGCTCTTTAAATCATACACTCGGTCAATAAATAAAAGATGAATCCCATTATCATTCAGAACTTGAAATGCCAAGGAATTTATACGTTTTTGCAGATGTATGGATTAACCTGAATTAAATTATTTGTGTTTAATGTTTGTGGGGTACACCGGAGGTCCGAGTAGGTCCACTTGGCAGCTGTCACTGACACATTGGCCATTCAGCCGTTGAGTATGCGCCCCAAGAGCTATCAATTGAACAGATCTATGGAGAACTTTAAAACAAAGGCTCAATAAAAAGTTGCACAGAAGTACGAGTACGAGTACGAGTAGGAGTCCGAGTACATACATTTCAGCAGCAGGAGCAACAACTGCAGTTAAATGGCTACGACATCTGCCATATGTTTCGCCGTATGGGCTTAAAAGCGTTTGGCGGCGTTAAAAAAAAAAAAACCAACTACAAAAGCATTAAGTGTTTGTGTGTGGAGTGCAGTGGGAAATGCAGGGGGCCTGAGCCAGGCAATTGTGTGTGTTGTGTGCGCCAAGTGCATTATTGAGTTTACTCGCTTATTTCATTGTGGCACTGCAAAAAAAAAAATAAAAATGAAAAAAGTTTGCTTTTTGTGCGCGCTTGAACGTAATATGGGTCTTAAATGACTGCCACACCCGAGCGTACGTACATGCACTCTCTACCACCTTTGCAGCCCCACCCCACCTTTGGACCACCTGCAAAAGCGCTTAATGTGCTTACAGAGCCAACTGCAGCTGGGTCCTCTCGTGGGGATGCGATGCTCGTGTCCTGTCCGGGCTCTGACTTGGTTCTTAACTGCTGAGGTGACTTAAGTAAAGCATAAGCTGTTAAGGTATTTATGGTCATCAGGAGGTGCCTCAAGAAATCGTCCGAAAAGGCGGTCAGAACTTTCAACGACCTTGGGCTCGTCTTCCAGATTTTCTGCACTCTTAACGTAAGACTTTTACTTTGTTCATTTCTCTTGAGCTTAGTTGTAAATGCAGGAGTCTAGGGAAAATCAAAGAGAAAATATATTTATATATTCAAAATTAGTATCTTCTTTAATACCGCATTCTATATAGAAAGTAGAAAGAAGTAGAAGTCAACTGACCAATCAATCTGACTTGTGTATTTATTATTGAAATAAAATAAACAGAAATAGCTTTCAAACTCAATAGAGAGATAGTTATGAAACTTGAAACGAAGCTCTTAAGCAATCAAGAAATCCTCTCATCCATCTTTACGGCCCCTTTCAATAGTTAAGACCAGCACTGCTACCATAATTTGATTAGTTGGTCGACTTTTCAACTATTTTTATATATATTTTTTTTCTGCCAACCACAGACGGTTTCCCTTTGCTGACTTCTCTTGGTAAATTTATATAAACGCCCACAAAATTGACCTGTGGCGTCCCCCGGCAATTATAACAAATTATCAACTCGCTCACACGAACGATCCCGTGCTCACAGACACACACACACACACAGACTGATAGCTAAGACAGCTTCCGTTTTGAGAACGCCCACACGGTCACACGCACACACCTAGACAGACATTAATTATTCATAACTTGAACTCGCCCAGACCCAAGACCCCAGGAACCCAGTCCCCACCACCCACTCCCCTCAACCCAGAAGCCCAGACTCCAAGCCGTAGGGTCGAGAACTGCCGTTCAGGCGTTGTCTTTGTCTTTGGGGAAATCTGCTGCTCTCAACCATGCCAGACCACACCACACCAGACCAGACCAGACCCGACCCGGCCCTGCTGCCATACCGACTCCATACCATTCCATTTGCCTGGCCTGTGGTCTGCCAGCAGTTTCAGTTTAATGTCTTCAAAATGTCAAGGCAAAACGGCCTGTGGCGGAAGGAGTCGTCTTTTTAGCTTAACCTTGCCATCAAACACCTCTGTGGGTCACCGAGAAGCATTTAAGCTGAATTTTTTTCTTTAAAAAACTTTAACTGAAGTATCCTCAAGTCCGGCACTTCTGCTCCAATTAACAAGGACTGACTCGCATGTGTGTAATCCACTTAAAAGCTCGACCCTGATTAACTTATGCCCTCGTAGTTGCAGTTATTTTAACTCTGTCGGTCCTCGCGGCGGATACTCAATTTGGCTTGGCCTGCACACTGTGTGGCTGTGGATGCCATCATGTACACTCGTTTACCGATATGTATATCCACGGCTATGAATAATGATAAAGAAACAGATGAATCCGCAGATACGAATACTTATTGAGATAGAGACTCTACAGCTACTAGAACAATTCGTGAGAAACACCAGAATCCAATATATTTGCATGATTTTTACTTGAATGACTATTGGAATGACATCCTTATGTGGATTGTCAGATCAAGCTTATTTTTGATAATAGAATGGACCTCTTATTATTTATGTTATTTTTTGGTAATTTTTTATTGGACTTAAGTTTTTTTTAGAATTTTTAAAGACATGTTTTCCTTTATTATTATATTCTATAGGAAAAATGATTCTTTTTTAAAGTTTTTCCTTAAAGTCACTCTTATATATTGAACTATCTGAAATAGTCCCAGAAAATTTCCCAATCTCGACTAACGGTATATTTTAAACTTTTATTAACCCGGAATTTTCTAATGTAACGCCAGTAACGAACAAAAATTCATAACAAAAAAAACAGGAAATTGTATTAAATTGGAACGCTCAATACTTATACAGATAGCTCTACCCGGTTACCAGAAATTAAATATTTTGTACCGCAACCTCAAAATCATTTTTATTTTGGTAACATAACGTCTGGTTATATTCTTGCATATATCTTTTAAACCGTTCGCTCTTTTTAAAAAGAACACAAACTTAAAATCTGATCTACGCATAAAAATAAAGATACAGAGCGAGATAAATCTATCTAGATAACGATACAGATACACTCTTAGATACATATCAGAATGAAGTTTAAGAAACAGCTAGGAATAGCTAAAATTTTAGTTTAATTTCTTCAAATTCCTAGTGCGTGATTCAGAAGGATTATTTCCCGTAAGATTTAGAACTTTATTGGTGTTTCAGATACTTTTAGTATGGTTTTAAACAGAGCTTGAATTCGAGTCAAGTTTCTATGTTTTTGGCCTTATCATCAATTGAGAAAATGTTAGCGAGATCCTGTAGATATCATATTGCCAAGAGTCCCATCGAATACCGCCAACGGATTCCCTTTGACCATTTTCATAATATTTTCCATTGAGATTGCTGTAATAATGAGAAAACTAATATTATAAATAAGTAATAATTAATAAGGTTAGTTCGGCATAAAATATGTGTACCTTTTTCCGCAATGACCAAACCACCAACCACTTCCATAATACTTTGGGCAAATCGTGCCATTATTATGGTCCCATGTAGAAAACTTCATGTTTAGATTATCTTCAGTTAGTGAATCTCCGGCTGTTCCTGAATATTTTCCCAATGATTTCAGTTTATAGCCTTCTTCTTCGCTTCCTATTTTAAAATCGTCGTAGCGAGCATATCTGGTTCCTCCATTAACATTTCCAAGTTGAACGTACAATTCGTGAGATTGGGACAGGGTCATTAGATGGATTTTTTCCAGTCCCAGGAAGAAGTTCTCCCGCAGGTCTCCGAACCCTAGTTTGTAATCGTTCCAAGTGCGATTGAAGTTCTCATTGCCGTTTACTCGTCTCTGGATGACAGTCCAGCCAGATCCGGAAACACTGGAATTACAGGGCACAAGGAATGGGCCTGTTCCGGGCAACTCTATGGTAAGGATATCAGTGGCATCGGTGAATGGAAGACAACTGCTTGCCTCCGAGATGTCTACCAGCTTTCCCTGTGTTCTTTTAAGGGAATTCACTTGATTCTCCAGTTCTCTGATTAATTTATCCTTTGATTGCATTAGAGTCTCTCTAGATTGAATCTGCAATTCCATTTTTGAGATCTGGTCTTTCTTTTCATGGATTTCTGCCTCCCGATCTCCAATATCTTTCTCCATTTTCACAATTTCGTTTGCCTTCAGATGCAATATAGTCTCCTTGTCCTTCAGCTGAATTTCCATTGAATTGGTAAGCTCAATCTTGCTTTTCAATTGCGCGATGTACACATCTTTCTCTCTAATATTATCCTTGAGGTCGTTAATCGTTGCATCCTTCCCCTGGCATAAGGCTGCGTACCGGAGTAGCGGCTTCACAATCGGATAGCATATGGCACCACACCGCTCATCGTCCTCATCGCGAGTCATCTCACAGTGCTGGAAACGGAATACCCAACTAATTAGTTTATTTCAATTATAATTTCTCAATGCACTGAATTCTCACAGCACTATTCTCGACGCTATTTTCCGGCGATAGAGTAATGTCTGCTTCTACTTGCAGGAAGAAAAGCACCAGAATCCAATATACTCGTATTTGCATGACTTCGAATTAAATTAATATTCCCGTTGAGAGACTTAAATCTCACTGAATGCAAGATGAAAGACTCAAGTCTTCTTATAAATCAGCTTATAAGCTGATTATCATTCAGTGACATAGATCATGCTTGCATCTGACTTGCCTTTTGTTTCCGAGATAACAAATCCTATTAAAAATTATAATATAATATATATGTATATTATACATAGGCATTTCGAATGTCATATTTATGTACATTTTCAGATCCTGTTCAATTGTTGATAATAAAACAGAATATAATAATAGCCCCTACACGAGGTATTATGTATTGTCGATCTATATGTAAGTTCAGCGAACCTCTTTATATTTATTGTTTTATATATTCACTAGACTTAAGTTCGGGGCGTTCTTGATCTGTCTGTTTTGATGTACTCGTAGCTGGATTGGTTTCGTAAAATATTGATATCGTAAAGCTCCGAAAAAACTTCTTCCTGGGATTGGAAAAAAACCTCACGAATTGTAGCTTCGACTTGGAAATATTAATGGAGCAACCAGATATGCAGCAAAAAGGAAGCCTACTGAAATGGGCGAGAAAATAAAATATCTTCATGAAATAAAAGTACAAGTACACGGCGCTACGATTCCTAGAAGCTTTATAACATTGTTTCTAAATGGCACTTTGTTGCGGTGCATAAAATTCGAAATGTGAAAATGCCGTTTGCCCCTCCGACATTATTATAAGGAATTAATACAGTACGTTTAACTCTAATTCTAAATCATTAAATCGCCAATCAAAGATGCAAATTAAATAATAAATATAAATTTGATGCAACGAATACAAAAAAATATTACTCACTGAGTTGATAGCTTGAGATCATACCACAGCAGTAGAGACGTTTCTTATCATGAATTTGCTATCAGGAATAAAATATATGTACGAGTATGTACACATGTACATTTTTAATTGTGATTAAGTGTGACAAATAAAGAAATAATTTATATTTATATGTGGCTATTGGATCCATTCCAGTCAGTTTGGTTTTGCATCGACTGTGCGAGAGTCAAGTGAAACATGAAAAGCTCCGGCTTTTGGATTTTTCTGAAAGGAGAATCCTCCCTCTCCATTGGATATCCAGAAATACATTTGTCGCAGAAAGTTAGCATCTAGGACTATTGATCTGCGACTGCTGATCACCAACTTGAAAGATAATAAAGGATTTACGGACAGTACAAACGGATTAGAAACATGCAAAAACATTCCTGATGAATTTTTCTCCAAGAAGAATTCAATTCAATTAAAGCATAGCCAAGACCAGCTGGCTATCAAAGAGGACTTAGTAAAACATCGAAAATCAGTGGCAGAGCTCCTGAGTGGAAAATATGAAGCCAGCAGTTACCCGTCGTCAACTCCACTGATATCCATAGCATAAGGTTGCCCGGAACAGAGCCATTCCTTGTGCCCTGCAATTCCAGTGTTTCCGGATCTGGCTAGACTGTCATCCAGAGACCAGTCAACCAGTCAACCAGTCAACAGAGACCAGTTACAGTTCTCTCAATGGAACATTATGAAAGTGCATCATTTGACGGCATTCGATGGGATTCTTGATACTAGAATGTCTACACGATCTCGCTTACTTTTGCTCAAATAATGATTGGGCCGAAAACGTAGAAATTTGATTCGAATTTAAGGTCTGTTTAATCTTAATCTTCCGCAGGACTCCGAACCCCAGTTTTAGTCGGTCCACTGGCAATTAAAGTTCGTTGCCGTTGACTCGTCTCTGGATGACAGTCCAACCAGATCCGGAAACACTGGAATTACAAGGCACAAGGAATGGGTCTGTTCCGTGCAATAAGGTTGCTATGCATATAAGTGGATTTGCTAAATTGGAGATAACTGGGTGCCTCCGAAATGTCCGTCAGCTTTTGTTTAAGGAAATTCACTTGATCCCCTAGTTCTCTGATGTTCTCTCAAGTTTTCTTATAAATCAAAATGTGAAATATACGATTACTACACTTTCTATGTTTTTTTCGAGATAACAAACAATTCAAATTATATCTCTCTATTCTATAAAAAGGTTTTCGGTCGTTGTGGTTCTGACATTTTACTTGCATCTATAGTAGGGGCTTGTCAGGGGGCTTGCCCTCAAGTGTATTTATAATCTTATACGTATACGTATTTGATCTTAGATCATCATCTACATATATGTAAAAAGTCAGATTGCGAACAAGCCTATTGTTTATAATAAAACATTCCTATAATAAATATTAGACGTTATTGCGAATCGTTCGATTTGCAGAGTAAGACTTACCATCGTAGCATTATTTATCCCAATCTACATATGTACTGAATAATCGTACATTATCACTAGTTAGATATCGCAAAAAAACTTAGATAAATGTGGCAGAGCGTCTAATCTTTAATACAGACCATGCACTATTTTCAATAGACTCCTACTAATGCTACAAAACCGAATACTGGTCAGGGTCAGCGAATCTCTTGTTCCATCCTTGCAACATGATTAATGATTAAAAATGTTTCTCCGTCTTTGTACTAACCGCAGAATGAATCTGATGTAGCTGAGAGTTTATGGGCTACAATTTATGAGTGCATGCTTAGCAATCCAGCAGTCCAACTCGAACTTATTTTACCCTCCCCAGTGATCCAAAGCAATTGTCGTTCTCATCTGTTTAGCGCTTAATAAACTCGTCGCTGATTTAATAATATTAAGATCAACGCCATAAAATGCTTGCGTTAATGTTGTTCAGTTAAATTTTTTATGCTTGCACCATAAGACCCAAGTGGCAAACGGGCACAACGACTGCTGCTGCCGGCTCCTGCCAACGTTAACGAGTGGCGGCGAAGGAGCGAAGGAGTAGATGTTTTCCAGCTTCAACCCACTTTGGGCATGCCGGAGAGAAAGGGCGCAACAGTCGGGCGGCTGACATCTGTTGTTTGCAACATAATAATCATTATAATTTATTTTAAAACGCAATTTACGCGGCAACGAGTTGGGTCGAGTTCAGTTCACTTGGGCTGATGCTCTGCATGCTAAGCGCGGAAAAACTGACTGAATGATCTGAACGCAAATGAATGGAGTCCTGGGCGCGCGCGTTTATGCTCCAAAGCGAGTTAATTAGCGCTGATTTTGTCTTCGTTTGCGCACAAACTGTTGAGCAAATAGCGTTCTGCGTGCTGGGTGCTGGGTGCTGGGTGCTGGGCGCGTCGCTCCCTCATTATTGGCCACACAGGTCACGTAACTTGGCTCAAATAAAAATCGACACCGAAACGGTTTTGTGATACAACGTATCGTATCCACTACAACAAATGCGTCGCCCCAGCGTCAGTTGCTCATTTACAATCTGCTCTGTCGCTGTGCCCGGTCCCAGTCCTGTGCCACTGCCTTTGACCATTTCCGACCGCGTTGGTACAGAATGCCTGAATGCCTGTGGAACGCCACTGCCACAAATTCTGTGCCTACTCTGAGGATGCCCAAGCAGATCAAGGTCTACCAGCTGCCCCAAATATAAATGAAAGCCTCCTCGAAGCTCTTTCATACTTCTCATTGTAGGAGTTTTTGCCGATAGTTTCCGAGTAGCGGGTATCCCTTAGTCGGAATAGCCACAGTGTACGTGAGTGAAACGTTCTTACTTGTTCCAGTTTGTTTTGTTGCTTACAAAACCGAAAAAGGTAAATAACAGGAAACATTTTACACTAATTAGCGACGCACGCAAATGGGCGGCTTTTGGAGTGGTGTGGAATGGCGGGTGGGCGCCCGATGGTTGGGTGCCTCCCTGGTGGGGGGGGGAGGCTAAGGGCTGTGTAAGTGGCGACGATTTCGTTTGGGCATAAAATTTACTGCCAGAAGCCTAATTATGTTGTACTGCGAGCTGTTGTCGTTCCCTGTTCACAAAATCTTCTTTAAACCAATGGTAATGGGTTAAAAGACGTAGAAGGAGGAGGAAAGTGGCTTTATTCGCATTAATTAGGCCGGCACTTGTACTAGAGCCCATCCCATGATGCTACAAGTGACTCTTCAATTTTTGGTCAAAAGCTTGTCTAATATTTGATTTATTTTTCTCATTACTTCTTTGATACTTGAACTAAAAATTATACTAGTAATTTTCATACGATTTCCTTGTGATAATAGGAATATGTTTTGTATTCAATATTCAATTCAAAAAAATAATAAATTATTCGTTAATTAGAAGTCCAACATCCTAAAGCACTTCAAAGCACCCATTTCTCGGGAACATTTACGGGCGAAACCCCAAAGGAAAACGAAGAAATGCGGCATTTATATTTTATTCGGGTCAGAATCAGATCAAAGCCCACAACCAAACCGTGGCCACAGTCCATGGATTTTGTTGTTCGTTTTGTTCTTTTGTTGTTGCCGCTGCCACTGCCGCTGCCGCCTAAAAGCGAAGTTTAAACCAGGCTAAATCGGCCACAATTCGCTGGTCGCTTTGCCATTGATTTTTGCTGTCAGTTGGCTGGACGAGTGCGTTGACTGGACTATTTCCATTCTGCTCGTTTGCCATAATTAACGAATAAATCGTTTTATACAACAAAATGCAATGTATGCCCGGTTCAGAGGAGTGACTGGAGATGGAGATTGGTAATGAAATCGTTTTTTCCCCTGTCGTCTGTCAATTTAATTACAATTTATTTGGCATTTCACTCGTACGTATACTGGCCGAGTGGCAGAGCCACCATTTCGCATGTTGTGCGGTGCCCGGCTTTGGCACTTTGTTTTATTTATTTTAAACATATTTTGTTTGTGGCAATCATTTATGGTGCATCCAGCCCGGCCACCTCTACCGGTTTGATTTGTGTCGCGGTTTCACGATTGGTTTATCCGATTTGCATGCGTGGGCGCAATAGATTTAATTTTCATCGACGATAAAATAAATGAAGATATTATTCTAACAGATCCATTTGCTCCCTGTTATCCCACTCACAGATAAATGCAAGTGGGCACTAGGTCTTTTTAATACAGCCCATATTTAATCCAAATATTAAACAC